TGGCTCATGCCTGTAATCCTAGTACTCTGTGTGGCCAAGGCAGGTGGATTGCCTGAGTTTTTTGAGACCAGCCTGAGCAAGAGCAAGACCCCGTCTCTATAAAAACTGGCCTGGTGTTGTAGCAGGTACCTACAATCCTAGCTACTTGGAAGGCTGAGGCAAGCGGATCTATTGTTTGAGTCTAAGAGTTTGAGGTTGCTGTGAGCTATGACGCCATAGCACTCTACTGAGGGTTACAAAGTGAGACTCTATAAATAAATAAACAAATATAAAATTAAACTCAAGGCTTTGTAGCATAAGAGGTATGGAAACAACCTTGGGAGTTGTATCCTAGTTAAAACCCAGACTGTACCATTTGCTATTCATTGTGACATCTTTGGCAAATCAGAGTCACTTAACCTTTCTGAATTTCTTGTTAAGGCTTAGCACCGTATTAAGCACTCAATACATAATGGTTTTTATTGCAATGAAATTTGTTATGAATTTGTTATATTAATAAGTTATAATAATAGTAATACATACACTAAATTTTTGATGCTGTTTAGACTTAAAACCTAAATTTATTCTAGAATTGCTTTTTTAGTTTAGCTGTGCTCTCTGCTGTTTGCTGTCACTAATTCACCTTTTCTCAGAATGACCTTAACGACTTCCTGGCAGGTGGTTGGTAAACAGATGGTCAGGGTTGCTTTCTTGGCTCAAACACTTGTCAGTGATTATACAGTCTGAAGAATATGTTTCTATTAGTTTACTGATTTCAGTTAAATGCCTAGGACAGACTCAGAAAGATTTAAGTTACGTTTATTGGTTTCTTTGTCCTGTTCCCTCTTAGAATTCTAAGTAGCTTGAGCCTTAGGAAATTGATGGTGGGACACAACCGTGTGCAGACCCTGCCGGCGCTGGTGGAGCACATCCCCCTGGAGGTGCTGGATATTCAGCATAACATACTCACCAGGCTGCCAGACACTCTGTTCTCCAAGGCCTTAAAGTAAGCACATTGCATTTTTCTTTTCCAGAAAAGTAGAATTATCAGCTAAAGTGGAATCATCAGGTATAGTGACCTTTGGAACTATATTTACAGAGACTTTATCTTATAGTCCAACTATGGGTGAAGACATACTTGCAATTTTTATGAAAGAAAGTATGACACTGCTTCATGAGGCAGTAATCTTTAACTCAAAATTGAAATAACCATCAAATACATAAGAAGTTTTTGTGTTGTTAACAGTTTCAAACGGTTTGGAAAGGTTCAGGCTTTCATCTCAGAAAATAAACAGTTAATGATAGTTAAAGCGAAATTACAACGTTCGGATATAGCTTCCTTGGGCAATTTTCAGTTTTTGCATCGGAGAGAAAAGGGTATACCACGTAAGTTTATTTGTTTTTTGCTTCTAGCTTTACCAAACTATGTTTGAATTACATTCTTTATTATTAAAGCTTTTTTGGTGCTTAATTTGAAAACTCTGTATTCAAAAGTAATACCTTTTCAACAGGTATTATTTGCCTTCTTATTGTAATTAACAAGTAGATGGCATATCTTTTCTTTTTGTTTTTGAGACAGAACCTCAAGCTGTCCCCCTGGGTAGAGTGCTGTCGCTTCACTGCTCACAGCAACCTCCAACTCCTGGGCTCAAGCGAGTCTCCTGCCTCCACCTCCCAAGTAGCTGGGACCACAGGCGCCCACCACAACGCCTGGCTATTTTTGGTTGCAGCCATTATTGTTGTTTGGTGGGTCCAGGCTGGATTTGAACCCACTACCTTAGGCGTATGTGGCTAGCGCCTTAGCCGCTTGAGCCACAGACGCCAAGCCGATGGCATATCTTTTCATTTCAAGATGAAATGTATATGTCATCTTTAAATGGAAACTAGTTTTTTGGTTGTGTGTTTTTTTTTTTTTTTTGAGACAGTCTTAAGCTGTCATCCTGGGTGGAGTGCCATAGCGTCATAGCTCACAGCAACCTCCAACTCTTGGGCTCAAGCGAGCTTTTTGTCTTAGTTTTTCTATTTTTAGTAGAGATCGGGGTCTTCCTATTGCTCAGGCAGGTCTTGAACTCAGGAGCTCAGGCAATCCACTTGCATCGGCCTCCCAAAGTGCTAGGATTTCAGGTGTGAGCCACTGTGCTTGGCCTTAGTTTTTTATGTTAGTCTTTATAATATTGAGAAGGCAATAATAATTTATTATCTTCAGTTTAGAAATGGAGAAGATAGAGATAAGCAGTAGCAAATTAAATAGGAGACACACCAAAAACATTTATGTCAGAGAACAATGTCTGGCTTGTTCTATTTAGCAGCTATTCCTCTCTTAATATATAATACAATTGGTTGGGTAGTCCTCAAAATAAAATTTTCGGAAATTCTAAAAAATGTTTGAAGGACATTTTCTTTTTGTAAATTTTATATGGCATCTTCATGCGGTTGTTAATTAACAAGTATTTGTTAGCAATCCATAACACTACACTTCGTCCTAATATAGTCAGAATAAAATTTATTACCTTAGCATCTGTAGTAAGGAAGTTACTTAGCTGTGGTAAACCGTCAATGATACTTATTTAATTCTAACCCAGCATAGAGCAGTTTTTGGACAAAGACACAAGTAGACACACAGTACCCTCAATAAGCTCTTATATACCAATTTAAAAAATCTAATTAGGAATGTGGATCACACAACATGGAGACACAAGAACACATAAGTTTCATAATTGCTGCCTTTTATTCAGAATGTTCTATATGTATTGAACACTATGTGAGACAGATTTTTAAATTATGCCATGTTTAAAGGTATACCTACCATTAAATTAATACCTGTAATTTAAATTATACCATGTTTAATGGTATGCCAACCTATTGGAGTGGCAAAGATTAAAATTAGTTGTAATAGGGTTGACAAAGTTGTTGAGCAAACTGGCATTTTTATATTCTTCTTGTGGAAGTGTAATTTGGGTTACCCTTTCTGGAGCTCAGTTTGGTAATACATTGACAAATCCTTAAAAAAATATATATCCTTTGATCCCACAAATTCTGTTTTTAAAGAAATAATTGGTAAGGACACAATACTTATATTATAACATCTACAATAGTATATGTATGGAAATAGCTTATAGGTTCATTATTAGGGGATTATTATGAGACTGGCTAAATAAACAGTGATGCTATTAAAACCAGACAAAAAATTTTCTGAAGGGTGTCTTCATAGTTTATTTT